ATTTCTCATGTTTGAAAATAATATGTAAATAGACTATAAAAACAATAAGTGCAGTGAAAAATATTAATAATATGAGATTTTATGTATTTTGCGAAGAAATTACTAGCAAATATTGCGAAATTTTTATTGCATTTTTTACACAAATTTTTTAAAATTTTTATTACATTTTTTAAATTTTTTACATAAAGTTGTTCTTTATTAAAGCATTATTATATTTCAGGGTCAATTTACAACTCATCAACTTTATCCCTACTATGCTGATTTAACAAATCCCGAATTTATATCGCATATTGCTATTGTACATAGTAGATATTCGACGAACACGTTTCCAGCATGGTCAAGAGCTCAACCTAATCGGTTAATTTCTTTTATAGTAAAACCGATAAAATTAGTTTTTTGAAAAATTTAAACATAATTTTTCTTTTTTTTTTCACTTTTATAATTGATTTTCTCATAATTGATTTTAATCAAATTCGGAAAAAAAGTTTTTTTTTGAGAAACTTCAAGCGAATCGTAAATAATTAAATTTGATTAGAATTTAATTAGATAGAATTTTTGTAAAAAAAATTTTCAGTATGGTTGCACATAATGGTGAAATTAATACGTTACGTGGAAATATAAATTTTATGAATGCTCGTGAAGGTGTAATGACATGTGAACTTTATGGCGAAGATTTACAAAAATTGTAAATTTTTTTAAATTATGGTGTTGATTAATACGGCAAATATTAATGCTATTGTGACCAGAAAATACATTTTTTTTTTCATGAGTGATAAAAGTCTTTTTTGATTATTGAAGAAATGTTTCTTTTAGATATCCAGTTGTTGAGAAAGATATGACTGATTCTGGCAGTTTCGATAACGTTTTAGAATTTTTGGTACGAGCAGGAAAACGTTCATTACCAGAAGCTGCAATAACAATGGTGCCTGAAGCGTATGAGAATGATCTTGTAAAATTTTTTTCTTTCTGTATTTCGAATATTTCAATACGTCTTTTCGAAATTTTTATTCTTCAAATATTGCATGTTATTTCTGATTTCACTGCTCTACTAATTGCTTATTATACATTGTCATGTAGCATTATTCTTTTGATGTAGCATTATTCTTGAGATTAAGTAAAGCCTTCGGTAATTAACCTTCTTCTAACAGCTCTCGTCATTACTGGTTAGGCTGGTTCTAATGGCTACAAGAGTAAGATGCATTCAAGCGGCGCGGTCTTGTGCCATCGTCGACAGTAATAGAAGCCATTCCTTTTTCCATCGTCTAAGTCCATGTATTGTTGGTCCACCTTCCACCTATACGTCCAAAATCTTTTATGACCCTACCAATCCAGGTCTTGGTTGGCTCAGCTCGCTTCTGACGCCAATCATCACACGGTTTAGCAAGTAACGAAATATGCGTCAACTCTTGTGATGGACGAACGAGAACGTGCTCTAATCAGCAAAAGTGACGCTCTATGATAACATTAATAATGAAGGTTTTATTTGAACGAAGGTGGATGCGATCATACGATATTTTATCCGCTCGAAGGATCCGTAAAATGTGCCTTAGATAAGGGTGATCAAAGGCTAATAGTCTCTATGTATCTTCCACTCTCATTGGCCATATTTCGCAACCATATAACAAGATCGAGCGAATTGCAGCTATATGGACGCGGATTTTCTTCTTTGTGGTGATTTCCAGACGGTTCCATAAAAGTTTTATTAATCGAAAAAACATATTTCTGTCTGCTGTCGTGGTTTGGGCTATAATATCGTCTTTTGCCTTGCCATTTGGTATTAGAGTGGACCCAAGACATTTAAAGTTGGGCACTTCTTTAACTGGCAATGAATTTATAAAAAGAGGCATTTTATCAGCTTTTTGTATAAGATGAAAAGGCATTCGTTTTACATTAACCCTATTCGATTCTTGCTGCAGTTGCTGACACGTTATTTAGCATTACTTACATTTCGTTATAACTATCAGCAAAAGGGACTGTATCATCAGCATATTAAGAATCTATGATACGATGCTCTGGACTGATTTGGATGCCTCTTGAATGCCGACAAGCGGTGTCCATTTTTTTTTTTTGAGAATTTTCACTATTAATGGTTACGCTCTGCTGGCTTGTCGCATAGGATAAATATGTCAGAGAGTTCCTTGGCGATAGAAATACAGGTTAATCACCAGTATCAATAGCCCGGATTTTTGTTTAGTTTTCGGCCTTCCGAATTGGGCAATTGAGCTTAGAAATCTATAAATAAAAATGAAATAATAAAATACAAAAGTTTTTAAAATAACTTTACAAGCCTTAAATCGGTTTGCATTGTTTTTCTTTTTCGAAGGCTCATCCATTATCTAAGTTTTCAGGAAATGTCAGCTGAAAAAAGGGCATTTTATCGTTGGGCAGCGATGTTTATGGAACCATGGGACGGTCCAGGTTTGTTTTACTTTCCTATTTTCTTTTAATAGTAAATTAAATTAATAATAAATTAAAAAACTATATTATTATACGATAGATTATTTAGAATTAATGCATATTATTATAAATGCATGAAATTTTTTCTAGCACTTTTTACATTCACCGATGGTCATTATATTGGTGCAATACTTGATCGTAATGGTCTTCGACCTGCTCGATATTATATTACTTATGATAATTACGTTTATTTATCAAGCGAAGTAGGAGTTATTGATATTCCAGTTGAAAATATCGCCAAAAAAGTTCGTTTTTTTTTCAATTTTATAATTTTATTTTTCTATTTTTGGATGTTTGCAATTTTTTGAAAAATCAGCTATAATAGAATCCATTTTCTCTTCTTACCTTAAATCTTTGGCTTATTCTCTGATAAAAAAAGGCTCATCCTGGTAATTGGTGTAGTGCTAAAGAAGCCAGAAATAATTATTAGAAGAAAGATTTTCTATCTTCCTTTTTTCCAACTTTTGCTTGTAATTTAATTTTTTACAATTTTTTTACTTATTTTTTATGTGGTAATATGATTACTATAGTTTATTTCACCTTTTTCTTAATAATATAAAAGATTAATGATACAAGTAAAGTTAACATATAAAATTTAATAATGTATTTGAATATATTTCTTTCATTTTCATTTGCTTTGATTTCAACGATTTTCATTCTCCATTATATTCATTGAAGAAAAATGGATAAGTTTCCGCTTCCAGTATCTGGAAATTTTATAAATATTGTAAAATCTTTTTTTTTTTTTTAAAATGATTTATTAAATTAGTAAACTTAAAAAAGAGAATTTAAGAGAATAAAAGAATTATAAAAATAAAGAATTATAAAAAAATCATGGAAAATAAATTTGCACTAATAAATCATTATTATTATTATTTGATTTATTATTATTTTTTTAATTCTTTTAATTTGATAAATGTATCATATAATCAAATATTTAATGATGGTATCTCAATGGTTTGCTTTTCTTATTTTGGAGCGCAAATGTTGTGGTCCTTTTCCGGGTTAGATAAAACTGTCGTCCGACAATCCGAGTGGTGCCGCCAACTCACATCATATTATTAGATGATTTTCTGGCAAAGTTTGTCTTATCCAGTGAGCCAAACCAGAAATGGTGAGCGATCTTAGAGAATTATATAAATTATGAAGAAATATGGTAAATATGAAATGTGGAAATATGGTAATTGGCATCCTCACTATTTCACTATTTAAATGCTTTTTTCTATTGTGCCTACAAGTATAGTAGAAAAAACTTGCTTTAGGGTCATAGAAATTATTATATTCTAAATCAATTCAATAAATTTAATTCAAATTCAGTCAGTATTATCAAATATTTTTATTATTTTTTGTCGTAATCGTTTTATCACTTTTTATCATCACAGTTTTCGCTATTTCCTTGATTTATCACCTTATTTTATTAATTCACCCATTTTTATTGGAATATTACTCAATTTTCTAAAAGTTTTTATCAAAACTTTTTATTTTATCACTTTTTTTTATTTCTTCGTTCATAACAAATCATTTACTGATCTTTCAGTTCGTTAATAAATGATTTGGTGTTTTGATTTGGAATATTTGGCTAAAAAGAAGAGTATATATTTTATATCTTATGCATTATGGTTCTATGGCTCTGCGCTTGATAGGAGTAAACTTCTTATAAGTAAAGAATCTAGATAGTGTCGAGGATTTACGTATCCTCAGATAACTTCCTGATTGGTAGAAATATTTTATTCGCGAATGAACCTAATTATATATAATAAATATTCTAATAAATTATAATAAGTAATAAAAAATAAAAAATTAGTGAAAACTTTCAGTAAAACTGTGACTTTCAAATTATTTAAAATATTTTATATATTTTTATATTTCATTTTTTTTCATAATTATTTTCTGTTAAATTTAATTTGAATAAAAAAAGAAAACGAACTTTGTCGAAAGTTTTGTAATCGGGAAAATAATTATAATTTCGTTTTCCAAATCTCATAAGAATTTTATTCGGTGCGGCTGTTAACATATGCATATTTATTAGAAGAATTATCATTAAGAAAAGTGATATAAAATATTGATTCATCGTTATCAATCGATCTATAATTAATTAAATATTCTAATTATTATTGGCAAATTTTTTTTAACTTAAAAATTTTCATTCAAATGGAAAATTTTAATGAAAAAATGAAAAATATTAGAAAAATAGTGAAAAAGCGAGCGAATGAGCGAGAAAGAGATGCTAAAAAGAATTTTTTCTAGTAAATCAACGAGAAAATGGAAAAATTTTGGAAAAATGAAAAATTTTGAAATTTTAATATTATTTTGTGAGATTTCATCCATCCCTTCTCAGTTTTTATGGAATGGGCGTTCAGTAAGTAATAAATGAACAAAAACGAATGAAATTATGGGAAGGATTTTTCGTTTTCGTTTAGCAGTTTATATTATTTATCATAATATATAATCTTTAATAGCAATGAAACAAATATTTTGAAATTTAATTATCCAATGTATTATAAGAATGCAATAATAGTGATAAAAAATAATAAAGTGATAATTGATTCTGATTGCATTATCATTGTGATAAAGGTCAAAATTCTTTATAATACATTGAACAATGAAATTTTAAAATATTTCAAAATAACGCAATTATTTAAGCGAATTAAAATCAATTTTAAAAAAACAAGAATTATTATTACAAGAATTTTTCTGATACCTAAAGAAATGTTGTGTTCTATTCTACAGAAACGAATTAAACATATATCGCCTCAAGGTAGCAATAACATCAACTATTGTCCTTTAATAGAAATGAACCTACTTGTCTTTTAAAAATCCTGATGAAATTGATCGATCTGCTCTTCTATCCTCAAATGGCTTGGCAAAATTTGTCTAAATTTGTCAGATAAACTAGCAGAGCGAGTCTATAGTGGATGCTCTGAGAAAAAAAATTGAAATCTTATCAGTAATTGAAACGGGATATCACTAGTTGTTAGGGACTAACCTGTAGCTCTCTTCCCAATCTTCTCACTGACGAAAATCTTAAAAGAACCAATGGAGCGATAAATATGAATGCTATTTAGAATAAGAAGCAACAATTGTATAATAATTAATTATTAATAAGCAAAAAAGCCTTAAAGTTTAGTAGTTGAGAGAATTTTAAATCATTTCAAAATAAAATTCTTAAACAGAATTAAAAGATTTTATATTATATAAAATTTTATAAATTAAAAATTAAATTTTTAAATATTAAAAATTTTTTTTGTTGAAATTGAACTTTTTTTTTTACAAGTTTTTATTTATTTTCATTAAATATTTTGTAAACGCATTAAATTAAATTTGAGGAAAAAATTTTGAAAATTTGCGAAAAATGAGATAAAATAAATTTATTTCGGTAATTCGGTAGGATAATTCGTTAGCTAATGAAAATTTTTAAAATAAAATGATTTTCAGATGATTTAATTTCTTTTCTCTTTTTAAATAAATAAATAAAAAAATTTTATAGATGAATGCTAATCGGATACAATTTTAAAAATTTTTTCTGCTTCATTGAATTTTTAAAAAAATAAAAATATTTCTTATTTTTTATTCTTTATTTTTTATTTCATTTTTAAAATAAAAAAAAAGAATTATTTATTTTTTTGCGATTGTCAATTTTATTTAATTTTATTTTTTATTTTTCCCATTTTTAATTGTTAATTTATTTCAATTTATTGGAATTTTTTTATCAAACAGTTGATTAAAAATAATAAAAAATATTTTTTATATTCCATTGATAGCAATAAAAGTTTTTTATTTTATATAATGAGTTTTCCTTTTTTTTTCATTTTATTTTTATAAAAAATAAATTATATAAAAATATTTTTAAAATAAAGGAGAAAAGGAATTTTTTTAAAGAGAAAGTTGAAAATGAATGGAAATTTTACCGAAATAAATTCACGAAAATAGAAAATCTTCTAAATAAGAATTTAAAAGAATTTGTGAATTTAATGGATTATTTTAATTATTTATTTATTAAAATAAAAAGAATTAATTATTTTTCTATTTATTATTCTTTTGTTGACGATTTTTTTTTATTATAGAAAAGGGATTTTTTTTTAGTTAATATTTTCAAAAATCATTGCTTTAATTAAACAATGAATTCCATTCTATTCTTATGAACATAAAGTTGAAAATAGCTGATTTATAGTAACAATTATAATATGTAATATATATATGTCTGCAATAAGTCGATCATATTTAGTAACAATCATTGGTACTTAATGGAGATTGCTTGCTAAATATAATTAGTAAAAGATTTGTATTATAGTATGCTGCATATATTTTTATTTGAAATATTTCATTAAAATTAATATAATATATTTTAAATAATAAATTTTAGAACTAAATTTAATAAATTTTAAATAATAATAAATTTGATTAAATTTTAAATTCATTAATAATTCGTTGATAATTTCGAAAAAGGCAAATGATATATGCGTTCCACAGGCAAATAAGTTGTATTCGAGGAAATGTCTTCTGATTAGCGTAAATCTGATTGTTATGAAATGCGAAGAATCCATATGCACCACTGGAACGGTGCTGCAACAAAATATATTCTCTCTTATTTTCTTTCTTAATAACCAAATAATTCAGAAATAATATGTGTCGCTACCACGAAATAGAACAAGAAAATTTTTGGTGTAAAATTTTATCGTAAAATTACGAAAATATTTTATTATGAAAAAAATTTTCAAATTAAATTCCTTTAAATCTTTTTGGATTCATTTTTTTACCATTTAATCTATCGCTGCTGCAAGTTTAAAACGAATAGATTTGTGCCAAATGTTCCTTCGGTGATTCGGTGTCCTTTCGGTGATTCAGTTTTTATTTTTGGTTTTTGATGATGATTGATTTGGTTTTGATTTTTGGTTTTATTCAAGTTTCGTCCAAAGGGATAAAATATGACTTTTAAAAATTAAATTAAGAATATTTAAGAATATTTTAAAAATTTAATGGTTTCTTTAATTTCTTTAATTCCTTTATTGAATTATATTTATTTATTTCCGATATAGAATAATAACTGAAAAAACAAATGCAGTTTTAAAATGACGAAATTACGTGGACATTCGGTGTTCAACTGAGATAGAAAATTTTCGTTGCGTGCAATTAATTAATATGCTTTAAATTAAAAATATAAATTTAAAATTTTAAGAAATTTAAAATTAAAGAATTTTTATTTAATTTTTATTTATTTAAAGGTTTGAATTAATTATATATTTAAATTGTTGAATTATTTTATTTATATTTTTATTGGATCAAATTATCGAATTATTTGAATATTTAAATTTTTGAATTATTTAAATAATTAAATTTTTTATTTATTTAAAATCCATTTAAAATTTCGAATCATTTAATCAAAATGATTTCGAAAATTAAATTTTTAAAATTTTAAGATAAATTTATTCAAAATTTTCAATAGTTTAGAGTCAAAAATCAATTCAACTAATGAATAAATATTCATTTAATTTAAGTGAAATTGAAAATTTTGTAAAATTTACCTTTTAAATGAAATTGTGGAATTTATTAAAATTACTTTGTTTCATTAGCTGTTTTTTTCGCAATATCCTTTTAAAAATGAAAAAATTTCTCAAAAATAGAATAGAATATAATAAGGAATATTTTCAGCAATAATTGTTGACGAGTGATAAGATATTGATAAGTTATCACAAAAGACTCAGTTATTTCATTTTTTATTTCTTTATCTTTGTTGAACTTAAAAATTATTTCAACTATGAATTAAGATTAAAACAATTTTTAAATTAAATTATAAATAATTTTTAAATTTTTCTTTTTATGTATTTTTTTCTAAATGTAATATTATAGTAAATTTATTTGCTGGTGAATCCTTTTCGGAATTCACAAAATTTGTAATTTGGCATTCTTTGCTAGAATAGCAAAATATAAGAGATAAGGTAGGTTATTAAATGCTAATTCTTGCGTGACGGACTATAAACTAGGTTTTAGATCATTTAAAAGATAGTAGTTCGTTATATATGCAATAATACATATTATACATATATTATTTACCATCCTAATGCTTCTAATCACAATATAATCTTTACTTATCAGTTACTTATCACTTATCAGTCCCTAGTTTTTTACTTATCAGTAGTGTATAATTGTTATTATATATATGAATTTATTATATAACAATTATTTATAAATAAAAGGAAAAGACGAATGATGTGATTAAAATGTTCAGTGAAAGTGATAAATTGATAATTTATTTAATTATTTCTGCATTTCTGCTTTAATCTGAATAATTCGTACGTTAGAAGAATGAAATAAATAGAAAAAAAGAAAAAAAAATTCTTGCATGAAAATTCCTTTAATAAAATTTATTTCTTATTTGTTAAAATATTAAAAAAGAAAAAAATAATAATAATTGTAAAATTATTCATAAAATTATTTATTTTCCAAAACGCATCGTTCCAAGTGGTGAATCTCGCTTATCGTTAATTGCATCTTTCATTTCATAAATTGTCGTTGGAATTTCGCTAAAAATTATTCGTTTACCAAAACGCATTGTATCCAATGGATGTGTTGCAGTGTTTTTCTTATTCATTAATATCTCATCAAAAAATTCATCGTTTTCATTGGAATCGGGCGAATATAAAAAATTGTCGTTTTCGGAAAATTGTCGTTTACCAAAACGCATCGTTCCTAACGGTTGTCGTCTTTTCTTATATTCATCATCAACTGAATTAAAAAAAAATTTTTTTTTTCATTTTTCATTAAAAAAAAAAATTAGCTTAGAATTTAAATTAGAAATTCTTTAGATGTGAAAATAAAAAAAATTGTAAATTATTGATAAGTAAAGATTATTGGAATGAGTGATAAATGATAAGTAAGTGTAAAAATTTTCATTAAAATTCTTAAAATTAATATAATCATATCATTGTAAATTTGAATTTAAATTAAAAACATAGAATATTTTTATAAAATATTTTACGCTAACTGAATAAATACGCCTTCTATGCCTTATTTCAGTTTTTTTTTCTTGAATTTTTTCCATCAAATTTAAATATTAAATTAGCATAAAATGATGATTATTAATTGAAACTGATAATTTATTGATAATAAAACTAGTGATGGATCTTTTTTTTTTTCAAACATAATTAAAGAATTATAAACAAACCTTTAGCATAAGTAAATTGTAAAAAATTAAGAAGAATAAAGGCGAAAAAGAACGTCGAAATGTTCATTTTCACCACCTTTCAGTAACAATGAAATATTTGATTTTGTCGAAATAAAAATAGTAGTAATAATAATAATAATAATAGAAAGGAAGGTAATAATAATTGATGAAGGCGGATTTCGAGGATTGATGAACTCGAAAAGGTAGAAAAAGCTCGATCTTTCTTATATTTGCATAATCTTTTCGCTTTTCTTTTATTTTGTCATTGAAGTAAAATTATGGAAAATTGGTGCGAAATAATAGTTTGCTTCACTGTTGGTGGTACATTTTTTGTCAATTAAAAATGATTATTTTATTATTATTTTTATTTGACTATTATTTTTCAACAAATCTTATCGATTTAGATAATATTTTTAAATTTTATTTTAAAATTTATATTTATTAATATTTATTTATTTATTAATATTTAATATTATTTGTAATAGTTTTGTTTTTTTTTTTCTTTTTTAAATTTTTCATGCAGAAACAAACATTAAACATTTGAAAAACTTTTATTTTTTTGCGAATTTCTGGAATTTAAATTGAAATTTATCAAATAATATTTTGACGATATAGAAAATCCTTCAGTGATAACATTCTTAATGGTACTGATAACGACAATCGTTTACCGAAACGTATTGGTTCTCTAATACGTTTACCAAAACGAACTGGTTCACCTCGAAGGCGTTTTTTAATTTCACTGAGATTTTCGTTATCATTAATATTATCATTAAATGTCATTTCATCAATTGCCTCTTCGCCATTTACCTTAAAAATTTTTTCTGAAATTCAGCATTTATTGATCAATTTTTCATTTATCTAATTATCTAATCAGTTTGCTTTTTTTTCTCAATAATTAGAAAAGAAGATAGGTTGGCTGTTGTTGTTATTATTTTGGATCGTGGATATTGAGAATTCTGTTCCCAACAGGACCTGTCTTTCAAAAGTTCTGGTGATAATGGTGATTCACTTGTACTTATATCATCCCAAATGGTAAAATTTGATAAGCTAGTGGTGCAAATTTTAACCAGAAATATTATTAAAAAAAAAACTTACTGAAATAGCGAATATTCTTATTATTGTTACAATAAGTAAAATATTTATTGTCGATTTAATAATCATTGTAATCGCTGTAATTTTTATTTATCAAATGATATTTATTTTTAAATAAAATCAGTTTTTTTCATTTTATTTTTCAAATTTCTCCATTAGAAATAAATTGGAAAATAAATTGGAAAATAATTTTTTTTCAAGAATAAAAGGTTGCAAAAAAATTTTTTTTTAAAAAGATTTTTAAAAATTTTCAAATTCAGAAATTTTTTCATAAAAAAAGTATAAATTACAAAGAATCATTAATTATTAAAATTTTCTTACAAAAAAATTGCAAAAAATAATTAATAATTAAAAGGAATTTGAATAAAAAAGTTTTGAAAAGTTTTTGAAAAGTTAGTTTAAAATTTTTTAAAAATAATTGTTAACTTGTTTTAATCAATTTTCAACAATTTAAAATCTTTTTAATAATTTTTTCACTAAAAAAAAGACTTAAAAAGTAAATATTTCTATTAAAAAATAAATTCGAAGAGAAATAATCGAAAAAAATTAAAAAAACTAAAATTAAAAGAAATTTTACTTGGTTTTTTATAATTTCAAAAAAAAACATAGAAATAAAAAGTTTTTTTCAAAAAAATTTTCCTAAAAAAGGTAATTACAATAATTTGAAATGGAAATAAAGTTAATTGTCGAATTTGCTTACAAATCTTTTCGAATCTTTCATGTAAAATCTTTCTTATCACTAGTTATTATCGATAATTATCAGTAATTTTGAAATGGAAATAAAAGTAATCGTCCAACTTGCATATAAATCTTTTCGATTCTTTTTTATCTAGTTATTGATAATTATCAGTAATTATTTTGCAAAAGGCTAAATAAAATAAAAAGCAAAATTATTACTATCATTTAATTAATCGAAATTATAAGAAATTGTAAAATTTCTAGTAATTTTAGTTTTTTTTGAATTTTTTTCCGGATTTATTTTGTAATAGAAATATTTACGATATCAACCAATAATATATTTTTTTTTATTAGTTCAAATTTTAATGTAAATAAAGCTTTATAAATAAAGTTTAATAGTGATAATAACGATAATGATAATAATGATGATAATACAAACATTATTAACAATAATGGTAATAATAATATTAAATAAGGTTTATAAATAAAGTTTAATAATGATTATAGTAATAATGATAATATAAATATTAATAACAATAATGATAATAATAATAATGGAAATATTTAAAAGTGGAGTAATGAGTTATAACTTTGAGATATATATAAGGATAATAAATTAATATTTTGTCGAATGGTAAACTAATTATTGCATATAAAAAGGAAGAAGAAAAAAATAGATCAAATTCTTTATCTTTCATTCTAGAAATTTAAAACTTAATGATTCTTCTAATTATAAAAAGAAAAAAATTTTTTTTTGAAAAAGAGAATATTTTTTTTAATAATTAATTTTATGGTTTTAATTTTAATTTAAATTATATAAATTATATTAAATTTAAATTAAACTATATTCGTATATAATTGTATATTTATTTCTTTTTTCCATTAGTATATTTAAAAATTTATGAAAATAATAAATATCATAATTTTAGTTTAATTGTTTTAATTATTTCCATTTATTTTTGTTATTTTTTTTATTTTAATAAATTAAATTTTAGCGAAAAATTTTAAGCATTTTATTTTATTTTATTAGTTTTGAATATTATTTTTTGCTGAATTGATCATTGTTTCGGTTTCGGAAAATAAATAATATAAATTCGATTCCTATCGCTTGTTAAGAATAAAACTATTATTATTATTAAATGAAATCCGAGTGGTTGCCGAAGAGCCACTGGAATCGCTCTCTCTCTCCAAATGGCCCTCTGGCGAAAGAGAAATGATAACAAAATTGGTGCGTGCAGTTAGCTGAAGAATATTTCAGAAAATGTATAAATTTTTAAATAAATATGTGGTGGCATATTTGCTCGTTATTTTAAAAATTCTTTGAATAAAATATTAAAATTAGTATATTTATAAATATATTTGTAGTATTGCAAAAAATAATTCTTTATGGCCGATTGGTGTATTACTTAAACTATCATAGTGATTCGATACTTTTCTATCTTTTTTATGTAAATATATTGTTGAGAATGATCGCCAGGACTTGTATTTATTTATATTATATTTATATTCTTAAGGGTTTAATAGTTAGTAGAGACGGCCAAACGGTGAAATAATGGTGAATACTGGAAGAAGAGAAAAATTTTGCTTGATAAAATTAAAATTAAAATAAATATTTTAAAATATTAAATTTAATAATTAAAATATTTATAGGCACATCTACGTCCCGGTCGCATGCTACTTATCGATTTATATGAAAAGAAACTGATTGATGACGATGACCTGAAATTAAAAATTGCATCATTAAGACCGTATAAAAAATTATGTTCCAAACGAATTCATTTAAATCAACTACGTGAATTGCATGTTGTTAGCTTTTTTTTTCTCTCCTTCTCCATTAATATATTTAATATTTTTATTATTCAGTTTTATTAATCATTTTAATTATTAATTTAATAATCAGTAATTTAATTATTTAATTTAATTGATTTAGTAATCAGTAAATTAATTAAACAACAATTAATTAATTGTTAATATTAATTGTTATATTTTTTTATATTTTTATTAATTGTTATATTTTTATTAAATTAATTATTAATTTATTAAAAATTTACCTTATTTACATTAATTAATTTAATTTTACAAAAAATAGAACTTTTTTATTATATTAGTTTCATCTGTTTACCAAAAATATTTTTTAAATTTATTTATTTTAATAGTTAATCAAATTTAATGGGGTAAATTTAAGTTGGCTACTGGTGCAATAACACATGAATCGTTAATAACAAGAGAGCTTTCGAAGCAGTCCATTCCAGCTTATCGTTTAAATAAAGCACAACGTGAAAAAGATTATCACCTAGATTCTGATCGTCGTCTTACAGCATTTTTATATACGCCTGATACTTTTGCGCTTATCATTGCACCTATGGTACTTCAACAGTGAGTTTTTTCTACGAATTTTTAGAGTTTCGATACTTTTCGACTTAAAATCAACTTAAAATAAATTTGAAATAAATATATCTTTATAGCTTTGTTATATGTATTGTTGGAGAGAGGGGAGGAAGGGAATTTGCGTCGGTAAATCTATTCCTACTGTTTGCCAAAATATCCCTTCACTTAAGTTGCCATTGAAGGTAGCGAAACCAAAAATGCAGTTCGCTTCGCTATTAGAAAAATATATCCATATAGATGCCTATCTGTAATTTTCATCTTAGCAGAGCTAAGCTAAATAGTAAAATAATTGATTCAAATTATCATTTTGAGAGAAAGTAGTTCAGAATCTGACTTGGACATAAGTAAATTAAAGTTGACCTTGGAAATTCCGGATTATGCTATTCATCCATATACATTCCCATCGCATATGACTCTCTAGCAAATATTTATAATAACCAAAAGAAATTAGCCTAAATAGAAATGGTAAGCGCTTATCACACTATTTCTTCTATTCAAATTTCTCTTTACAAATGCCACATTTTATTATTTATATTAATAATATTTTTATTTTTATTTATTTATTGTAATATTAATATTTTTTTGCTATATTTGCTGATAAAATTATCAATTATGAAACGCTGCTTTTTCTTCATTTTCCTTTTATTTTCACATCAATTTACAATATTATTGATAATTTTTAAAGTGTAATTTTGTTATTTTTTCTATTAAGGAAAGAAGCACTTGGTTCGATGGGTAACGATGCTGCGCTAGCTTGTATTTCCGATTATAGTCCACTTTTATTTTATTATTTTCAACAGTTATTTGCACAAGTAAATCTCTAATAATTTTTATCTGTACTTATTTATTTATTCTGAATAAAGATAGGAAAACTATAAAATTAAAAATGGATTAATATTATTTAGGTAACAAATCCACCAATTGATCCATTTCGTGAACAAATTGTTATGTCATTGCGTTGTCCTATAGGACCCGAACCAAATATATTGGAACCAAATGAAGAAATTGTTCCGCGATTAATGCTTGAACAACCCGTTCTTTCACTCATCGATCTTGAAGTCTCATATTTCTTTTATCTTTTTTTCTAATTATGTAAATTTTGATTCTAAAAATAAATTTTATTATTTTTTAAGAACTTATTTTATAAATTTTTTAGGTATTAAAACAAACAACCGTGGCAAATTGGCGTTCTAAAGTTATTGATATTGTTTATCCTGTAAGGCATGGACCTAAGGTTATTGATCTTTTCCATCATTTAATATGAAAAATTATTGTCTAAAAATTTTTCATATTAGCTATCAATGAAGTAGAAAGGGCTTGATTAGGACTGAAAGCAAATATTGTGGTTCAGGTTCTTCTTTCCTCTTTCTTAATGGAAAGAAATTATTATAAGTGAGAACCTGTTAGCGCTGGTATCCATCTATATTACAATACTTAATTGGCTCTCTGCCGAAAAAGTTCCAATTTTAGTAATTAATGGTGTTATACAAGCCATTAGAAATGATTATAGAAGTATTATTAAAAGAAGATAAAAGATTGGACTTGCAAAACAGATGGTCTCTAAGCACTTTATTAATATTTATTAATATTAATATTTTTTATTAATAGTTATTAATACTTATTATAGGGTCTTGTACCGTCATTGGATCGTATATGCAGTGAAGCTTGTGCTGCTGCACTCGACGACTATCAGTTAATTATTTTATCAGATCGAAAGATTGATAAAGATTTTGTTCCGATAAGTTCTTTATTGGCCCTAGGTGCGGTGCACCAATGTCTACTTAAGCAAAAACTACGAGTGAAGGTTTTAACTTTTTTGAAATTCTTATATATTGAATAAAGAATTCATTATTTGCATAAATATGCAATAAAAAGGAAATATTAAAGTTATCAATAATTTTTTTTGCTCGTTTTGTTAATTTTATTTTATAAAATTCCGTATTAAATTTTGATAGAGATAAAGTAATAATTAAATATTACAAAAGATATTTAACAAATCATAATTTTTTGCAGGTGGCGATAATCATTGAATCAGGTGAGGTCAAAGAAATCCATGATTTTTGTGTTCTTCTAGGATTTGGAGCTGATGCAATTTGTCCTTATCTCGTTTATGAAACATGTCATCGTCTGCGGAATTTGGGTCTTATTGATGATACTTTGACTGACGCTAAGGTTAAAATTCCACTTCTTAACTTTCATATTCTTATGGTTTCGTACATTTAAAAATATAAAAAATAATTAATATTATTAATTTATAATTAATATTTATTAATGATTCAGCAGATATTTTTTCTCGTCATAAAAAAATATTTCGAATAAATTTCGAAAATTTTCAAGTTTAATTTCACTTATTGATAGATAGCTTAGTGGTAAATCATTAATGGTTGCTGAGAATCTGTATTTGACGAATGGATTTCGGTTTATAGGCCAATGAAGAATATAAAACCAGGGAGTAATGCATGGTACTACTTGGATAAGAAGTTGAATCCAAATTTTAAATTATTAAAATCATTTTTATTGTCGGAATTACATCCATTTTCATAATTTTATTTATCAAATGATAGTCTAGGAGAATTTTTCTATTTTAATATTAAAATAGAATGAATTTAGATTTATCAAGGTTACACGGCTGCAATCGAACGAGGAATTTTTAAAGTAATGGCAAAGATGGGTATAAGTACGTTGCATAGTTATAAAGTAAGTAATTATATTCATTGTATTTTGAGGCAAAATATTTGAAAATATATAATATATAAAATATAAAAAACTTCTATTTTGAAATTTCATAGGGTGCACAGATTTTTGAAGCTGTTGGATTATCACAAGAAGTTGTTGATCGTTGTTTTACAAATACTATTTCACGTCTTGGCGGTGCTACATTTGATATACTTGCAACGGAATCTCTAAAACGCCATCGAAATGCTTATCCTGCCGTCGAAGAGAAATATAATTATGGTTTGTTTTTCAATTTTTCATTCAATTTTTTTTGTTCATTTTTAAAAATATATTTATTGATGATAAATTTCCGAATTATAGGTGATAGTAAAACACTAATTAGTCATGGGACATATCATTGGCGAGATGGAGGTGAACGCCATATTAACGAACCATTCAATATTGCTAAACTTCAGGTTTTTCATATTTCTTTGTTTTTTCTTTTTTCTTTTGAGATTTAAAAATATAATTAAGAAATATGGCGCTTTTAATAATATACGCGTAAAAATGAAAATTATTTTTTAGGCAGCGGTACGTTTGAACGATAAAAGGAGCTATCAAGAATTTTCAGCAGCATCAAATATGGCACAACGCCTATGTACAATTCGTGGACAATTGGAAATTAAGACGAGTCGAAATCTTCAAATTCCTTTGTCTGAAGTTGAAGAAGCTAGTAATATAGTTAAAAGATTTGTTACCGGTTTGTATTTCTCTTTATTGCTTTTTTTCTATAGAAAGAAATAGAATAGAGGTGAAAGCATATGAATTAAAAGCCTGAGGGGATATATAAATTAAAAACGATTGAAAGATCAAGTAAATTATCGATGGTCCTGAGAGGGGAAGCAGCATGCATCATATTCTTCTGTTTTGAAGAGTGAACCTGTTATTAAAAATAATTTCTTGCTGCTATTGGGACAAACTCTTCTTCTAACAGCTTTCATTACTGGTTAGGCTGGCTCCAATAGCTACAAGGGTAAGACACTTCCAAGCGGCGCGGTCTGATGATATCGTCGACAGTAATGGATGCTATTCCTTTTTCCATCGTCTAAGTCCATATATTGCTGGTCCACCTGTACGTTCAAAATCTTTTCTCACCGTATCAGTCCAAGTCTTGATTGGCCCACTCGTTTTTGACGCCAACTATCACACGGTTTAGCAAATAACGAAATATGCGTCAACTCCTGTGGTGGACGATGGAGAATGAGCCCTAACCAGCGAAGGCGGCGATAAAATTATTTATGCAAGTGGTATTTGAACGAAGGTGGATGCGATCATGTGGTATCTTAAAACCATATAGCAAGATCGAACGGATCACGGTCTGAAACCAGCTTGATTAGGGCACATCCTGCTGACCTCTACATAAGTCTGTTGAATAGTAGGGGAAGCAAAAATTTTTGCTGGTCTAATAGGCTGATTCCTCTATAATTGTCGTAGTATGTCCTATCACCTTGACAATTGGGAGCAGAATTGATTTGCTCCAATTATTTGGTAATATTTCTTTTTTCCATACTAAAGAGTATATTTGTTGAAGGTGTGTTAAGAAGAACGATGGACAGCATTTGAAAAGCTCAGCCCGAAGACCATCTTCTCCTGGAGTTTTGTTGGCCTTAAGCTTATGGATAACTGGAATTATTTCTTCTTCTGTTGGAGGCTCGCAATTTCTTCTTCTGTTGGAGCAAGCATATGCTTCGGCAAACGTATCAGCTATATCAGGGGCAACATATAGCGCTTCATGGTTAAATTTGGTCTCAAAGAATTCTTTCCATTTTATGAGGCGATCCTTTTGATCAATACGCCACTGCTGTATTTTACCATCAGTGATCGTTCCCTGAGTCATAGTTGCTTTATGAAGAAGACAGAATAGTTTCCTATTGTCGCCTAATCGAGCCGTCCCCTCCATTCTTGAGGCCATCACTCCAATAGTGATTTCTGTCCCTCCTTGCTGCTTTCGTTGCAAATCTTCGAAGCACACGATAGTCAGGATCATCTGACATTCGTGCTTTGGCAGCTTTTTCAGACAATTTGATAATTGCTTCTCAACTGGCGAACTTCCTACTAGTATACCCTAGCGTGGAGGTGGCTGATTTTCGGAGACATTCCTTTAGTTTGGACCAGTATTCATTTGCCGTTCCAGAAAAATCATTGATATTTGTATCATTTTGAGATATTTATCATTGATATTTGTATCATTTTGTTTGTATTTGAGATGCTTCAATAATTCGGTTTGAAATGCACTCACTGTTCCCGAATTTTTTAGCTTGAGATAGTTGAAGGAACTTGGGGAATGCTGTTCTGTGAGTTGTCAATTTTATGCGGATCTTGGCTCGAACCATAACATGGTCAGATCCATGAAGATTGCTCGTTTCATCTCCGCGATAGGAACAACTATCTAGTACGGAAATCTCTTCCAACGGCGACTGACTAAGGTATAATCAGTCTGGTTGATTGTCCGTGAAGTTCAACGTGACTAGTTGTTTTCTATAACGCCGGAAACAAGTAACAAAAGGTTCATGCTCTTCGGCATAACGAAAAAGACATTCCCTATTGGCATACTGGTCTCCGATGCCATATTTTACCAATTGTTGAGGTCATCGCAGCTCCATTATGACTTACGCGAGCATTCCAGTCTCCCCCGATTATGATGATGTCATGTTTCGGTAGAGACTTTGTTAGCAGTTGAAGTTCCGCATAGAACTTATCTTTATCACGGTCATCTGCAGACAGAGTTGGGACCGAGATATTGCAAAACTGATGACCGAGATATTGCAAAACTTACCTTTGAAACGGGTGTAGGCCATACGGTCGTTTACGGGTTTCCACTCAATCAAAGCGGAATGGGCCTTGTCAGATATGACAATCGCTACGCCATTTCGTCCCTAGTTATTCGAAGCATCATAGTGATATAGCCTATATCTCTTTTCTGAACCAGGATTAATAATTGCTCGAGACCCAAAGTGAGGAAGACGGTCCTCCGACAAGCGATATCCACACGATACTTAGACAGGGTGTGGACAGTAATCGCTTGGCTTGCAACGTCCATAAGCGTTTAGACGTTCCACGCTGATACGGCTAAAACCTCGCCACATGTGCAGAGAGCTGTTTCCCTTGATATGTTCCGAGCAATTATTTACCAGCCTTGGGATCGCTTTAAGCCCGGATTGTATACTTATCGCATGTACCACCGGAGTATCACGCGCGTCGAGAGATATGGACAAGTGTATTTGACCCTTTCACCATAGATTCAATTGGGTATAGAGTTACAGGTGGGTTTTGGGACAAACATGTTTATCCATTCCAAAGTGAGTCTATGGCGACATTTTTGATGTTTTCTTTAATAGGCTTACCAAGTTGAAGTTGAGTTGGAGTCTGTCAAATTCTAATGGTTATGATCTTAATGTTAATATTAATATCATTTTAAATTATTAAATTACATTATAGGTGATACTAATTGTTGGTACCATTATTGTTGTTAGTAATATTCATATTTGAATAGAATTTCGATGTTATTTGAGAATACGCTTTATAGATAGATCGCATTTTTCCAATATGGAATTTAGGTTGTTAATTTTTTAAGCAAACAATTTTATAGGAGCTATGTCATTTGGAAGTATCTCATGGGAAACACATACCACTTTAGCTATTGCAATGAATAGGATTGGTGGTAAATCGAATACTGGAGAAGGTGGAGAAAAGCCTGAGCGATATAAGGATGGTCAACCTCATGATTATAATATGCGTTCTGCAATCAAACAAGTATTTTTTTTCGAATTTATATCAAATTTATTCGAGTAGAAATTTTTATGAGATTATAATACTGTCCTAGAATAAGGCTAAAGGTGATTTATGGTGAGTGGTAATTGGTAAATTTAAGAAATATTTTGTCGATTTTCATAAGAATTAATAAAAATTTTGATCGAAAAAGCATTTGAAATTCTTTAGCCTTTCATATTAATGCATCAGCTAATTTCATCTTTTCTTCTTTATTTGTTGAATAAGTCGTATATAAATCATCTCATTTTTTGACAAAAATTATAAAAATATCTATTCGCAGGTAGCTTCAGCTCGTTTCGGAGTTAATAGTGCTTATCTTGCCAATGCAGATGATCTGCAAATCAAAATAGCTCAAGGTGCAAAGCCAGGTGAAGGCGGTGAGCTTCCAGGTCATAAAGTGACGGTCGAAATCGCTGAAACGAGAAAATCAACACCTGGCGTTGGTCTAATATCACCGCCACCACATCATGATATATATAGTATTGAAGACCTCTCTCAGTTGATCTACGATCTTAGACATTCTAATCCTAACGCGCGGATTAGTGTTAAATTAGTTTCGGAAGCTGGAGTGGGCATCGTAGCCTCTGGTGTCGTTAAAGGTAAAGCTGATCATATAACGATATCGGGACACGATGGTGGAACAGGAGCTTCGAGGTTAATCGCTTATCTTTTTTCATCATAGGAATAAATTTAGAAAATATATATAATAAATCATATTTCATTTTTTTTCTATTTTTATCGTTTAAGTTGGACTGGAATAAAACATGCTGGCTTGCCATGGGAATTAGGTATCGCTGAAACGCATCAAGTTTTAACGATGAATAATTTGCGATCTCGAGTTATTCTTCAAGTTGATGGCCAAATTCGAACAGGTATTTATGAAGATATTTTTTTGCAAAATTTATGCTAAATTTATGCTATTAGAATAATTATTAAATATTCATCGTCACTCTCTATTATCAAGCAGTAAGAATCAAATGCATGCATTTTATGCTTATATTTTATAAATTTGTACCATATTTATGTGGGAGTGGGAATGGCTTAACGGATTGTTGCTCAATTCAAAGTGCCGATGCTGGAATTTTACTTCCTGCAGAAGTAAATCTGCCCAAAAATCCGAGTGATGCTGCGACTTTCCTGTACTTTTATCGCCAAGAAATTCCTTGGTTAATGTTGTGGGCTTTAAAAAAAAATAAAGAACTTGTATATCATATTATATTCTTATTTGTGAAATTTAAATTAAAAGAAGTATAATATTTTAATTTAACTTATTTATTAATTTTGATTTAAAGTTGTAATATAGTAATAAATATAGTAAATATAGTAAAATTTATTAAATTATATAATTAATATATAATTATGCAATTGTATAATTAATATAAATTATATAATTATATTATAAAAAATGAAATCCTTGTATTTTTCTCGATAAATGCAAATAAAATGTATCAGGTCGTGATGTAATGGTCGCTGCATTACTTGGAAGTGATGAATTTGGTATGTCAACAGCGCCACTAATAGCACTCGGTTGTACGATGATGCGAAAATGTCATTTAAATACATGTCCGGTGGGAATAGCGACACAAGTATATTCATTTTTTTTTTTATTAAAATTATTTTAATATATATTTAATATTAATATTATTTAATATTATTGAAATATTTATTTAGGATCCCGTTTTACGAGCGAAATTTTCCGGAAAGCCGGAATATGTTGTTAATTATATGTTTATGGTTGCAGAAGAAGTTCGTTATTTTTTAGCAAAACTTGGCTTACGGACATTACAAGTATTTTTCTTGTATTTTTTTTTAATTCTATAAAGAAACTTGTTTTGGAAAAGAAAAAACTGAAAAAATTCTCTAGTAATTTTATTTAACCATAGAGGAAATTTGAAGAATAGATTTTCTAATCTCTTTATCATATTTATTATCGGATAGCTATTTTTATTTAAGATTAGTTGTTGTTCATGGATATTATTATTTATTTTAATATCGCATAAGACTAGATAAATTTTATTAAAAGGAAGCAATTGGTCGCGTTGACTTACTTTATGCAAATCCAAATCCAATCAACAAAAAATCAACGAAACTGCAATTCGCTAATCTTCTTCGGAATGCCAAAAAAATGTATCCAAATCATAGTATAGAAGGAGGCACTGTTAAACAGGTTTTTTATTTTATAATTTTTATTGTCATTGATAAGAAATTGAACTCTATTTTTTGCATCTGCTGATGAACGTGATAACTTTCCACATTGAATTTTTTTTTATCCAAAAAAATTCGACTAGAGATGTCATAAGCGATACTTGTGATATTGTGAGCGCCAGAGCGCCCGAATACTATTTCAGATTCTTTTGCATCAAAATTAGTTCCCACTTAGTTCCACCTAGCTCTAACTTTTAGTTTTTTTTAATTTGAATATTTAAATTTGTTAATTTAATCTATTTTTCAGATAATTGAATTAAATCAATTGGAAAAAGAAATTATTGCAAAAGCTGAGAAGGTTCTTAATCAAGAGATTGAAAAAATTGATGTAATTGGTTTTACAATTAAAAATGTTGATCGTGCATTTGGTACTCGACTTAGTTATATGGTTTATTTTTTATTATTTCTTTGTTATAATATTCTCATATGGACTACGGAAAATCGCTGAAATAATTAATAATAAATTAATAAATTAATAATAAATAAATTAATAATTATTAATAAAATTTTAAAAATAAATTGAAATTAAGGTTTCACATAAATTTGGTGAACAAGGATTGCCTAATGGTCGCTCGATTAGAATCGAGCTCAAAGGTCATGCTGGTCAAAGTTTTGGTGCTTTTCTAGCTCATGGAATATCTCTTTATTTGGAAGGTGATGCAAATGATTACGTTGGCAAGGTATTAATATTAATTCTACCTTATTTATTTATTATAAACCCATTTAAATTTCATGTATGATTTGATTTGATATTTAGGTAGTTTTAAAATTGAGAGCTAAGGTATTTAATGCCAAAATTGACATTCATGATCCATTTTTCATGAAATTGACATTTCTTTAATGATTCAGAAGAATTATGAGGCGGTATATTTTGATATTTTTAGGGTCTTTCGGGTGGAAAATTAGTTATTTATCCTCCACGCTCAGCAAAATTTAAATCGGAAGATAATGCTATAATAGGAAATGTAGCTTTGTATGGAGCAACATCTGGTACTTGAACTTTTCTTTTTTAATTATAAAAAAAAGTGAATGCAAAATGAGGGAAGTGACGATTTAATGCTTTACTTCTTCTCTTAAGAATTTTCATAATTAATATCGCTTAGCAAGGCGTTCGATTCGATTCAGTCGCTATATTTGAGATTATAAGAAACTCTCATTTTCAATTGTCTAAGTCCATAACGTTGAAGCACCTAGAAATCTCTTCTGGCTGAATCTCTTTCGTCCAGCTTTTGATTGGTTCTCCTCAATTTTGATGATTTATTGAATTTTTTAAAATTTATTTTTCTTTTCTAAAAAGGAAGAACAGCGGTGAAAAATGAAATGAAATAAATGAGTAAATGAATAAATAAATGAATTATTTTTTATATAATATATTATTGTAATATTTAATATACTTTAATATCAGGCAAAGTATAATAAAATAATTTTTTTTTTTTATAGGTGTAGCGTATATTCGCGGTTTGGGTGGTGAACGTTTTGCGGTGCGGAATTCTGGTGCATTAGCTGTTATAGAAGGAGTTGGTGATCATGGATGTGAATATATGACTGGTGGATATGTTATTATTCTTGGAAGTATTGGTAAAAATTTTGCAGCAGCTATGTCAGGTGGTTTAGCATATGTTTATAATGGGTAAGTATATGTTATAATTTTTTCTTCTATTATTTTAACATATTTTTCTTCAATTTCATTTTTCCTTTTGCGCATTCAAGCACGTCTGTTTGGTGGCAAAAATGATTAGTTAAAACAATGAGTCGAACTGACGTGGCATTTACTCTGGTTGCATAGGTGATCTCTAGTGATGTACTATTGAAAACGAAGGAGGACTATTGTTAGGGCCTCAAGAAGATTTGGAAGTATCTCATAAGTATCTTGGAAGTATCATAACCATCAGTGGACAACCAACAAATATAACAATTATGTTGGTAAGAATGTTATAAGAAGAAGGATAAATAATCTCTGATTATCACTGATTATAATTCAATTATTTATTAAATTATTTCTTATTAATTGTAGAGATGACAAGGCAGATAAAATGATGAATACTGGTACTATCGATTTAGATGAGCCAACTGCTAAAGATTTTTCTTGGCTAAAAGAGCAAATTAAGATATTTGTTCGTGAAACAGGTTCTGTACTTGGCAAGAATATATTGGATCATTGGCAAAGCGAACATATGAAATTTATTAAAGTACTGAAATTTGTTAAATCTCTATTTTCCTTAGAGGAAATAATTTTACTTTTTGATTGAAAATGTCATTTATTTTTTGATATTTATTATTTATTATTTTTATTATATTTATTATTATTATTCAATTCTTATATTTTAATTTAAATTTTTTCTCTTGTCATTTAGGTGTTTCCGAAAGATTATAAAGCTGTTCTAAGTGAACAAGCGATTGAAAAAGCTCGTGAAGTGGAATCAAAGCAACTGGAAAAACAACGCGAATCAGCTCAGAGCTTAGCACTTGCTAAGGTCTTATAAATTTTTACTTTAGGGAAATTACTTTACGGAAAATTTTTTTTAGCTATTTATTAAAAAATTTTAACTTTATGCTTTAAGCCATTTTTTAATATTTCATATTTCGTACTAATCGATGTGTTTTATTAAATCGGCTATAAATTAATTACTTATTTTATAGGATGAAGAAGATAATGTTGTTGATGATCAGTCAATTATTCCTCGCGCTCGCTCGTTATCAATGGATATGCAAATTTCAATTGAACCAATTCGTCGTAAGAAAAACGTTTGCCCATATTTCTTCTTTTCCTTTTTTTTCTTAACAAACTGATTTTTAAGTTATATTGCAGTTACATTATATTGCGAGCAGAATCGCTGATTGGGTTGTTAATGTCATTTTGAAGTGCTATTCCTAACTCTAAGTTATATTATCTAAAATTTTTCTAGTCTGATAAATTAGTGAAGCGAACTAGAAATGTTGTCAAAAAAAAGAAAAGTTTTTTGTTATAGCTTTTTATAGGTAATACTATTTAAAAGAAATACTTTTACAAATTTTCTAGATAACTTTTATTTTAGGTTATGAATAATAATGGGCGAAATCGGTTATCGGTAGCAAAGGTAAATTCTATGAATTCCTTCCCGGTTTTTTCATGGATTTTCATTTTATCCTTTGCAAATTTTTTTTTTTTTAGATACTTTTTGAAGAAAAATTTTATTATCTTGAAAAGTTATCATATCTTTTTTGTTTCTTTATTTTTAATTTATTTTATATATTTTTATATATATTTTATATTTTTATTTATTATTTTTATTATTTTCTTTCATAATTTTTTATTTTAAATTTTCAGCAACATCGTAGACGAAAAATTTCGAAAAATGTTCGACGTGAAGACTACGAAGGATTTGAAGAAGAGGAAGACGTGCAAGATGCAATAGAAGCATTGAATGATGTTGACGATGATGATAAATCAGATGCAGCTTATTCAGATTTCGATGATACATTCATCGAGAAAGATTCAGTAAATGATATCGAAAATTTATATCTTCCAAAATCGTTCAAAAAACCAGAATCATTAGATAAACTAAGGTTAGCTTTTGTTTGCTTTTTTTGCTTTTTTTTTCTTAAGAGATTCAAGGAAAAATTCTGGCTATTCGTTAAAGGTAAAATATGGTCCATCTTACTTAGAAATGAAAATCAATGAAAAAAGTACGCTTCTGTATTTCTCAAATATTCGAGTAGTTTGAGTTAATAGGCTAATTTATTAGACGGAAAAAAACGGAATATTATTGTTAAATTTTAAAAATTTTTTTCAATTTTTAATGATGAGATTTTCTTTTAATTTTTCATTTTCTTTCATTTTCTTTCATTTTTCATTTTTCTTTTCATTTTTTCGTAAATGTTACTTCATTTTATATTTTAGATTACATTTTCTTTATAAATAATTTCGTAAAGATTTTAAATTCACATATCGATAATATTTTTAGAGGTTTTGTCAAATATCGTCGTCAAAAAGTGATATATCGACCAGTTGATCAGCGTCTTAATGATTGGAATGAGATTACGGATTATAATGCTGTCAGATCGAATATTCGAAAACAAGCTGCACGGTTGGGTATTCATTTTCCATATTGCGAATAAATAAAGCGATGAAAATTTTTCTTTGTCAATTTTTTTAAAATAAATTTTATATTATTTTAAGATGTATGGATTGTGGCGTAGCATTTTGTCAGGGATATTCAGGTTGTCCACTCGGTAATATCATTCCTAAATGGTGTGATTATGTTTATCGAAAAAACTGGCGGCAAGCGCTCGAACATCTCTTACAAACCAATAATTTTCCGGAATTTACGGGACGAGTCTGCCCAGCTCCTTGTGAAGTTTGTATTTTTTTTTAACTTACTAATAAACTTGATTACTATAACATTAATGGCTTATCTTTGGCAAAATTAAAAAATTAAAAATTATATTGGTTTAGTTTATTGGTGATTATTTATTTGATATATATTTTCTGTAAATTTAAAGCTTGAAATACAATTGGTTCGACAACGGATTTTGTAAATTTCAATTATCTTAAATTTTTTAAATATAAAATTTATATTTATATAAATTAATAATTTATATTTTAAATGTAAAATTTTTAAGAATTGCTGGAAAGTTGTTTCAGGCTGCATGTTGTTTAGCGATTAGTTCACCAGCTGTCACTATCAAGAATATTGAATGTGCGATAATTGATTATGCATTCCTGGAAGGTTGGATAGTTGCACAAAAACCTACCGTCTGTACTGGAAAAAGAGTTGCTATTATTGGTAGTGGGCCAGCTGGTAATCCTTTTTTTTTCTACCTTTATGAAGATTGACTTTTTATTTATTTGCTTATAATTTAATATAGGTATGGCAGCCGCGGCTCAGCTTAATAAAGTCGGACATACTGTTGTAGTATATGAACGAAAAAATCGAATTGGTGGTCTCCTTAGGTAATTCATTATATAATAAATCATCCTTGTCTTTCAAAATTTTTTTGAAAAAAAGGGACCAAAATGTGAATGTTTGATTCCATAAAATATTTCTTTTCAGCAACAGCCATTAATTATGCTTTCTTTGAAGATATGGCATTCCAACAATGAAACTCGACAAAGTGGTAATTGATCGTCGAGTAAAATTAATGGAGGAAGAAGGCGTGAAATTTTTAACAAATACTGAGATTGGAAAAGACGTTAGTGCTGAATTGCTGATTAAGGTAACGTATAGCAATAATTTTTCAATAATCATATCATAATATTTTATAAGCTAAGCTCAATAATTGTTCCTTTTAGTCTGTTCGTGCTCTGTGATTTGGAGTCATTTTTTTCATTTCGATCAAACTCAGCTTCAAAGTTTGTAAAACAATCACAAGAAAAAAATAAGTCATCGTCTGTTTTATCAAAAAATTATCATAATATTATTAATAATTATTGTGTAATAATTATGCAAAAGAAATCCTATTATTCTAGAAAGAAATCGCTGGAATTTCTCATTCATTAATACTATCATAAGTTTTCGTGTTTTTTTTTTTTTAAATCTTGAAAGATTAATTTTTATTTCTTTTGTTATTTTGTAATTTTGATATTTATATATGTTTTTTATCTTTAAACAGGAGAATGATGCAGTGTTGATTTGTACTGGTTCAACGATTCCACGAGATTTACCAATTGAAAATCGAGATGCGAAAGGTATTTGTTTCGCAATGGATTTTCTCGAGAAAAGTCAAAGACGACTCGCGGGCGATAACATTTCTTGGGAGGGTCTTGATGCTAAAGATAAACGAGTTATCATTTTGGGTGGTGGTGATACTGCAACGGATTGTATTGCTACATGCATACGATTAGTAAATTTTTGATTGTTCATAATTTCACTTGTTCCATTTCATTTTTTCATAAATTCATTTTTCGTTTTAAAAAAATATTTCTTATGAAATTTAAAATCGCAAAGTTTTTTAGGGAGCCAAAAGCATTAATGCCTTCGAATTAATGTCTCGTCCTCCAAATGAACGAGCGTCAAATAATCCGTGGCCGGAATGGCCTACAATATTTAGAACTGATTATGGGCATGATGAATATCAGAAAAAAGCTGGAAGTGATCCACGAATCTTCGCTATATCCACCAAGGCACTTATTTTCATTTTTAAATATAAATTACAATTTATAATATAATATAACAATAAAATCCTTGTGATTAAAATGTAAAATTGAAATTTAATATAATTTAAAATAAATTTAAAATAAAATGAACTTCAGTTCAGTTTAAATGAATATTTTTTTGATGTTGAATTTTGTTTTGAATGGTTTTTCAGAAATTTATTTGTAATCAAAATGCTGCTGGCATAAAAGTTTTAACTGGTTTGCAAACAGTAGAAGTTCGTTTCCAGTTCGTAAATAAAGAAAGACGAATGATTGAGATTGATGGCACCGAAAAAACTTATCAGTGTGATCTATGTATACTTGCTATGGGCTTCGTTGGACCAGAAAAGGTCAGTCTAGTGCCATTTATTTTTCTATTAATTTTATGTAGCATTATTATATCAGGTCGTACTCGATTCTTATTCATTCATCGTTTATGAAATGAAAATATGAATTTAGACTGATTGCTTGGTTTGCTCACCTATCCACATGATTATTTTTTATTTTAACTTTTTTCTTATGCCTGTGATGGAAGTACAATTTCTTACTGTAGTGATCCGTGGTGATAAGCAAATCAGATGTGATAAATGATTTTCGAAGTAAAAAAAAAATTGTAAATTATTGTAAATTGTAAATTATTTCATTACAATACTGTCTAATATGATTCTCTTATTACGTAATATTTGATCCTCAATAAATCAAATTTATTTTCTTAAAGGGTATATTGTATATTGTTCATATGAAATTAATGACAAAATCAATACAAATTTCATTTCTTGCAGATGGTAATCGACCAGCTGAATTTGGTGACCGATGAGCGTTGGAATATTCAAACCAATGACAAATATAATACCAAATTAAAAAATGTTTTTGCCGCTGGCGATTGTCGTCGTGGACAATCGTTAGTTGTTTGGGCTATCCACGAAGGTCGGCAGGCAGCTCGTCATGTAATAAATTTTTTCTGAATTTTGCTTATTTCTTAAATTTTAATGCACTATAGATATTATGGATATTATGAATTTTAACAAAAGCAGATTTAATCGAAAATTTCTTCTTTCAGGTTGACAATTATTTGGAGGGAAAAACAACTCTTGCAGGGCCAGGCGGAGTTGTTTTAGCACCGATTAATCGCTAAATAGCGAGCGAATGATATTTTCAATTTTATAACAAAAATTCGCGATTATTAATGGTTCTATTGTATTTGGTTGTTTTATTCTCAATTGTATAAATTATTTTCTTTTTAACCCTATAAATTATAAAAATACAAAAGCGAAAAAATGCGAATGGTTTCATTTCCTATCGCTAATCGCTAAAATATAAAAGCAAAGAGTTTTTAAATTACCGATTCGCATGGATTTATCTCTTTTTCTTCGAATTTTTACAATAGACTAAGCAATGGGGAGGGTGGGAGGAAGGGGCAGAGGGGAAAGAGGAGGGGAAAATGCGATATTTTGTCCAAAACATTTGGTAAGAAATTAAGTTGTGCTTTATTGAAAGTATTTTAAGGAATAGTGTGAGATTTTTTCATCTATTTTCTAATGTTTTGATTTTCAATACTTTTCGCTTTTTTGTTCTATTATGTATGTATTGGCTTGATAATAAATATTTATTTTTTCCATATGAATTTGGATTTTTATTTTGCTTTCCATGCAAAATGATGATAATAAAGTTGTTCTGCTACTGATAAAAGAAGGTGTTACTAATGGTATAATTGATATGGCATATGGAATTTTCGCCTTATCAGTTGGTGATAATGCCAATAGTCATTTCGAGAATTCATTTCCAATTCACTGCATTATTTTGAAATCTTTTCATAATCATTGTAAATTATGATAATTTTATCTATACTCATCATCGGTAAATTTATTTTATCATTCTTTTATCAATAAAATTATTATTTTAATTGATTAAACATTAGAAGAATAATACAGTTATTTTTTTAGTTCAAATTTTTTATATTTATAAGTTTCTAACTTTTTTTTTATAACAAAATAACTTCTACTTTTTATAAATTTTATTTATAATAAAATAATTTCTTACTTTGTGGTTCTTTTCTTGTTTAATTCATATTTATGTATAACGAATGGAATTCATTGGAAGTTTATTCGAAGAACAAAAATGCTTTATAGTTTGATTTTTTTTCAGTTATTTCAGTCATAGAGTGAGGTGACAGTTTTTCATGTATGCGATTTTCGCGATTTAATTAGATGTCATAGCAGATTCGGTGAAAATTTGGGAATAAATGGTGATATATAAGTGGTGATAAGTGAATGGTGTATATTTAATTTCTCTCGTTATGCTTGTTAAATTTATCAGTTATCGACTTTATCAGTTGGGTGACAATAACTTGTAACTTGTGTTAATTGAATTTTAAATCCAATTGTAAAAGTTTTTTTCAAATTTTCTAAAATTCGAATGGGATTCATACACTTTTTCTATCTTCGTTTGCCTAATTTTACTCTGGAAATAATTCGAGAAAAAGAGGAACACAAATGGAGAGAATTCGTTTATTCTAGTTTAGACATTAAGAGGAAGAAGGAAATAAAACGGATTCTATGAATATTTGAATTTATGACTTTCGAAAATAATAAGGAAAAATGCATAAGTCCACTAGTGAGAAGGGGATATGAGGGGGTTTTCGGGAATGCTTAGATGTTTTGACGATGTTTTTTGCAAGTCCGCGAATACTAGATATTAGAATCAATGATAACGTAGGTTTTCAAAATTCATTCACGACTCTTCTCTCGGCATATGGTTCGTCAGATCCAGGTTGTCTTCGCGAAATAGGTATCCATTATGCTGGAAATCAAAGCCAACAAAACATGTATTCAAGATCCTCAGATTCACCTAGAGTGGCTGACTAACATAAGAAAAGGAACAACATCGTCCAACTAATGTCCAATAACTTGCTTCTCCACAATGTGGAGAATCCTATCAGGCATCAACGCCATCAAACTTCATATTCATATGAGCCAATACATGAATACAATTCTAAAAGGCATTGGGAACAACACCAAACGCTCCAAACTCTAATCTGAAAATGATTTTTTCAAGAAATTTTTATTTCAAGCTTGTGCCAACTTAATTTTAAGCACCTTCGTTCAAACTCAAATATTCGGTGCATGACGTCGAAATATGTGGAACTACTTGTACGTACGCTATAAGTTCTCGAACTCTGCTAGCGTTCAAATTTGTTCTTTTTCTTTTGCGAGTTCAAGTGAATGTGAAAAAGCGAAATTTTTTTTTAGAATCTTCAAGTGATAAGCATTTCATGCAGTAATTCATCATTTACGTAGGAAATATCTGAGAAATTCGAAAGCAATGGTTTCGCTTATGGGACAATAGTTTTTACTGATAAAAAATTTTAATATTTAAAATATTTAAAAATTCAATACAAATGAATAAAATTTTATATTTTATACAATAATGTAGGCATTTTTTTCTTTTTATAAAGTAATAATGTAATATAATTTTTTTTTGTCGAATTAAATGAAATACGAAATTTTTTAGCAACATTGGATTGGAATAATCTTCAACAATTGCAAACTATTGTTGAAACATTTTTTTTTGCAAAAAAGAGAAAAAATGAATTATTCGCATGTTTGCAGTTATTTATTCCCATCTATTTCCTGCTTGCTTCCTTATCATTCAATCATTTCAGTGATTAATCATTTTATCATATAAACAAAAAGCCAAAAAAATAACATACCATTTAACCATTACCATTTAACCCAAAACTCCTAACTGTGCAGTTTAGTTTGTCTATCATTAGGCGCTAATTTTGCTCCAATTCAAAAATTTTTTTAAATATTTTTCATAGTTAAGCATAAATAAATGCGAAAAAAAAGCAAAGCTTCAAAGTATATGCATCCATTTGAGAATCCAATACAAGTTTCTTATAAATTACGAAGGGAATTTCGAAGGGAATTCGAATATTTTCAAACGTTCTTTATGGATCTCACCAGCTATAGATCGTGTACCGTTGATATAAGGGGTCTAATTATTGAAAAAATTTATAAGGAAACTGGCATTACTCGTCAGCAAGCCGAGCAATTCGCGAGATATAATGCTCAAATGCAATTCGCCTGCAGCACTGGATTACAAAGTTTATAATTTTAATAATTCACTGAATAGCGCCCAATCAACGAGGAATTTTTAGATTTTTATGATTTGCATATATAATTTTTATATTTGAAATGTAAATGTTGAAATTAGATTTTAAAATTAGATTTTAATTAGATTTTAAAAATTAGATTTTAAAATATTTTTTAAATTTAAAAAATTTATTTAGAAGAAATCTAAAATAATTAATTAAATCCCAAATCTTTTTAGCAATGGGGATAGAATAGTTCAGTGGGTTGTTGCTAAATTCGGAGCGCTGATGTTGAGGCTCGACTCCCTGCAGGAGTAAATCTGACCAAAAATCAGGGCAATGCTCATCTATATTTCTATCTCCAAGGGAGTTCCTGGCATATTTGTCCAATGTGACAAGCCAGTGGAGAGAGTTTAATCAGTAATGGTGAGGAATCTTTAAAAAAAAATTTTTTTTAGCAATACTCGAATCAAATGAATGTATGACGAGAGTTTTGAATAGTTCAAGTCCTGAACTAATGATTTTCTGAAATGATATGGAAATTGAAATCGAAAATGATCGAAAGCATCTTTGCCTGTAATCTTCAAAGCTATCTTTTAGGAAAAAAAATTTTAATTATAAAAACTATTTTTTTCGTTCTGATTTGATTTACTGACTTTTAGGACAAAGGATTTCCAAATTCTTAGAGAGTTGTTTAGAAATTCAAGTCCCAGGCTTTCTTCTTCTTCTTCTAACAGTTCTTATTATTACTGGTTAGGCTGGAGACATCTCCATGCTATTCGATTCGACGCTGACAGAATAGAAGCCATTCTTTGTCCCATCGTCTAAATCCATATATCGCTGGTCCTCCTATATGTTCAAAATTTTTCCTGACAGTCGAGGTCTTTTAGTTAGCGCTCCTCACTTTTGACGGCATCCATCACACGGTATGCGGCGTTCTTTGATAGTAATTTTAATGGAGGTGATATTTGAGCCAAGGTGAATTATTTGAGCCAATCTTTTTCTTCTAGCTTAATAAATTTTTTCCTCAAAAAAGTTTTTTTCTCATTTATTTTTCCTTTTCTATTAATAATTCAGTGTTAACTTTTCAGTTTTACGCAATATGCAGTAGATTATCGCTATGGAAAAGCGATAAGTGAATGTGGTCCTTTGGTTGCTCGCTGGAAATGTGAATATCAAAATGTTGCAAATAAAGCTATTTATCCACATTGCAATCTGAATACATATACAAGTATAGTTCCATTAATCACTTATTTCTTAACAAATGATATAATTCATTAATATTTTCTAAATTAAATGATTTTTTTACTTTCTATAATTTTCTCTGAAAGATTTAAATTATTAAAATGTAAAAATTTAAAATTGGTCATAAATGATTTAAAAATTTTTCAGTGCAACTATAATTTTTATTCAAGCAAATTTTGATTGATTAGAATGAATAGTTTTATCACATTGATAAAACGTTTAAACGTTTCATTTCAATTACGTGATAATTTTGATAATAATTCTATTATTTTTTAATAATTTTCTGATAATTTTCTTTTATAAGTTATAGTTATTAATTTTATTATTTATCAATAAAGCAATTATGTTTTACCCAGTTTGCAATAGAAAAAAAATTTTTTTAATTATGCTAATTATTAAAAAAAACACTTGGAAAATGAGGAATTAAGATTTTCAAAAATAAGGAAAAAATTTTCTACTTTATTTTTATTTATTTATGAATTTTCTACGGAAATTCTACTTTAATTTAGAATTTTTGATCTTAAGCCATTGTGACTTAATTGTGACATTTTTAAGAAATTTAAGTTAATATAACGAAAATTTATTTCTTTTATTTATAAATGAATATATTTAAATTGAGTTTTATTGATAAAGATAGAAAGAAAATTCTTAAAGATTGCTGCAAATATTTTATTTATTCATTATATAATATACAAATTGCATAATACTTTGGTGCCATAATTCTAGAAGAAATATCGAGAACCTTGTTGGTTCTGTTAGGAATATTATTGCCTTTGATTAGAGTAGGATGAGAGTGGATAATGCTGACGGCTTATCTATGTTTCAATTTCGAAATGACTTTGGTAGTTAAAGGAAAGGTGATTTGTTGTTTTTTTCTTGGTGAGATGGTTGAAGAAAAAATGAAAATAATGGTGAATGGTGAATGGTGTTTGTCGCGAAATGCGATGTTTTCTATTGATTCAAAATTATTAATTCAAAATGATGTCACCGACCCGCTAAATGAAACCTTTCATTAATTCATTCAATTCTTTACCTCCACATATGTCAATAAAAGATAAAGGTCAATTATACATTGTATATGTATATTCTTCTCAAGCAAATCCTTCTTCTTGCCTCATTTTCGGGGCCATCAAGGAACCGAGCGGTTGCGTCCCAATGTTCAATATCATACATTTTGTTATTTATTACATCCCTTATGTTGTTAAGCATTTCTTATTCGTTTTGAAATAGTTATCTCTGGATTAAATTCAAATCGAATATTATTTAATATTATTTGTCCTTTCTATGTATTAATTGATTTAATTAGTTTGAGGTGGCGAATAAAGATTTTCATTAATATGTGCGGTGATCAGTGTTTATTCTACTGTCCTGAGAAAGCAGCCGGATCAAAGTCATTCTAATATAATTAATGCGTGGTACGCGAGCATCATCCCACTGCTTCCAATCAATAATTATTTATTTATTTTTTACATTAATCTAATCTATTTACAGTATTAAAAAAAAATAAAGTCTTATAGAAAAATTTCTCTTTTATAAAAAAGGATCCTTTAGGATACCAATGAAGACATTCTTAGACATTCTTATATATAATTATAACAATGATATTATTTTTTAAAAAATATTAATATCGCGGAGAATTCCAAAGAAAAGTGTATACAAATTAGCAAATTAGCAAATAGGTTTAGAAATTAAGCCATTAGACGAAAGGAAAAACATCTCTGAAAATGCTTCGAAATAATAGTTGATGAGTTATTCAATTTTCGCCTCATTAACTATAGCAATGCATTCATTGAAGAAGTTGGATTCCGTAATAAAAACATTAACGGTGCATATATGAAATAAATCGCAGCAAAAATATATAGCATACTGAAAAAATAATTAATAATTATAATAAATAATTAATAAATAATTATAAAAAATTAATAATTATAATAAATATAAATATAAATAATTAATTAAATAATAATAGTTTTAGATTTAATAATATTTTAAAAAATTCATAAATTTTTGCGATTTTATTTCGAAAATTTTCAAATTATACGTTGAAAATTCGAAAAGTCGAAGAAGTGGACCGGAAGAAAATGGTCCTAAAATATATGCAAAACAAACTGCAGTGTCAGCAATTGCGTATATCGAACCATACACGCCAATATGTCTTATATCGACTAAATAACCCATAAGTGGAAACATAGATGCATCAATCATTCCTTTGAAAAAATGAGAATTACCATTGTCAACAGAATTATCAGTAAGGATATGTCATAACTACAATTATTATCAATAGCGAATTATCATAATTAAATAACTAATTTATCTTATCAAATGTGGAAAAAAATATGAGAAAAATTCAATACCTATCGATAAACCTATGAGTGAATTGGGCGCGATTAATTCAAAAATGTTGCTAACGGATGGAATCTAAAATATGCCCAATTAATATGGTTAAAAAAGGAAGAATGTTTCTTTATTAATATTGGAATAATCCTCTTTTTTGCCAAAATTTATTCATGAAAAGTTTATTGAGCACTTTACCACGATCAAACAGATTCCAGTAATTGCTAGTCCAATGAAACTACTTAGCCACCTGAAAATTATTTCAGGAAAAAAAATCTGCTTTAGAGGCATCGCTTATTTTGTGATCTCAACAAAATTTTAATTGAAAAAAAATCGTACCGTCCAATTTTATACGCGAGTGGTCCAAAAATATTTGTACCGAGTAGATAAGATATGCTTGTTGGTAGGAAAGCAGCACCTTGTTCAAATGAATTAGCCCGCCAGCTGTACATCATCCATAGAGGTAATGTTGCTTCTAGCATCGCAATGCCAAGATTCCCAATAGTGATAGCACATATAAATATTTTCTATCTTCATTATATTTGATAAGATAAAATTTGATAAGTTTTCTAAAACTATCAGTCACATAGACTTGAATATCACAAAGTACTGGTTTCACTAATTAATTAAGATGGTAAGAAAAACCTGTTGCAATTGCTATATATGGATCAGTTATCAATTTTTTAATGTCTGTTCCTCTTGTGCGTTCACTTCGATCAAAGTGAGGCCGAAGAAATAGAAGTTGAAGTGCTAAATGATTTCATCAACAAATATGACTTTATTAGGTTTTATTTTAAAATAATTGCAAAATTAACGATCGTTAGTTAGAGGCTGTCATCACAATCATTTTGTTATCACAAAGTCATTTGCGTTGCTTTAGTTATTTCTTTATATCGGCCACATAATAAGAGTTAATGCAAATTTGCTAGACCCTATGGTGGATGGCGTCAAAAGCGCGAAAGATCAATCATCTTGATTGGTACGGTTAGGAGTTAATTCGAACGCATAGGAGTATTATGTCGGCTTAGATAAACGAAAAGGAATGACTTTATTTACTTTCAAGAATGGGATCGAGAAGTTGAGAAACATCTTACTCCTAGTTGCTAATAAAATCAGCCAAACCAGCAAGCGATGCGAGGAGATTTTAGAATTAGAGGCAGATTTTACATGGATTTTAAATGATGATAAGCTTTGTGGGTTTATTCCCTACCTGGCGAGCGAATGAAATCTCACATACAACCACTTTCGCCCATACCAACTATATTAATATTGTGAATTCCTCATAGCTTTTGATAATTTTTGCCACTCGCTAAGAACCTCCGTTTGAAGACCAGTCAGAACTGGTATGGTAAGGAGAAGGCATAGGCGATCCAATGAATGGTCTTAGGCGGTGGAAAATGCAGCCTTCTATTTTATTAAATTATTATCGTTCACCTCTATTTGTTTCCCAAAATGAATCTCTATCTAAAAAATACTTTCCATCTAACAGCAAGCGGATTAGGAGACTTGGAAAGGTTTAACTCTGTCAGCCTAGACAAATAATGGTACAAGATATTAGAAGAGATGTGAGTGCGAATTACTTCCATCAATAAGAGCAAGAAGAGCTAGAAGGAGAAAAGGAAGCTTTTTTCCACTCAATTGATAGAGTAGGCCACCGTATGGTGGTCCAACGAGAACTCCTAGCGCTAGTCCACCTAGCGCAATGCCCATCGCGCTACCACGTTCTGCATCATCTGGATAAGCTTGTGCAAGCATTCCCATTCCTGAAAAATTTATTAATTTATAATATTTTCATATTATACAAATATTGCAAATTAAAACTATATAAATTAGCATAAATTTCTTTAAAAAATTTTAAATTGGTGTTTTTGGTTAACTTAGTGGAATCGACTGAGGCTATGGATTTTGTTTATAATCATTGAACAAGATGCCAAGTTCATTAAAAGCGAAATTCGGATAATGGTAGATCATTCCTCATCCGCCTCAACTTCTAACGCAAAATGAATGTCTGGCTAAAGGATATCTATTGATTAGTGAACAATTAGTGAAACCTATTAATTATAGCAAATAGTATAGGCAAAATAAAAAAACCTGATATACTGGTGCAAGCGGATCCAACACCTTGTAATGCTCTCGCAAACCATAATATAACAATTGATTCACCGAATGTAAATATTAAGGTTGAAAGAAACATTATACAAAAACCAGTAAACATAGGAACTGTATATCCAATCCTAAAATAACTAAAATACTTCTTGCAAGCAAATATTTTAAAGCATTTCGCAATTTTTTAATATTCATTATCATAAAATTATCAAAAAATTGATTAATCAACTAAATGAAATTTTTTTTTAAAGTAATATTTATAAAAATTAAGCTTTGTAATATCGACAATAAAATGGAAAATCCTTTCAGAATCGAAAATTTTTACCGATTTGTAAGCGGACCAATCAAGGGATTCACCAAAATTTGAACAAGAGCTTTCGAACCAAACATAAATCCCATTTTACTATTTGCTTCGACGAAGATTTCGTGCCATTCTTGAAGTTGCTCGTTAATAATTTCTTGGCTTTTGTTAATAATTGGCCTATAGAAAATTTTTTTCTTTTGATTCATTTGTATGCCTAAAGAAAATATTTGATTTAAAAATAATTCAAATGATTCAACATTTATTCATTTGTAACCGATAGTCCTATAATTTAGTTTATGCTATTTGTAAATCCGAAGTAATTCGATATTTCTTTCAGCTCATAGAGATTTCCTATTAGTCTGAGCTGAGTACAAATACTTAATACGCTCTAATCGGTTCAAAAAAGATTCAAAAGGTGATAATAGATAGTTTCATGAATTAAATTGGAAAGAATGAAAATTGTTCGTCGATATTCTTATTCCGTTTTTTATTTCTGGATTATTTGTCGATTTATCACCTTCATTCGAATTATTGAGTAGTATTTCTACCGAATCGTCCAACGAATGCTTCTCTTTCATTTCGGAATATAATGAAAGTTTCTCGCTTAAGAAAATGTCGCTTATATTCGAATGAGAAATATGCAAAAGATATTTTGGAATTACTGGAACTGAAAACAAAAAAAAAGTGAAAAAAATTTTCACTCTTTAATTATTCGTAAAAATTTTTATAAGACAATTTATAAGGCAATTTAGAAAATGCTTAATCAAAACAAATGTAATAGAGTGGATTCTCAATTCTCAACGGAATGAATTGATGCTGTAGGATTCGATTTCGACTTGCAAGAGTAAGCCAAAAAATCATGTGGGTATTGCTAGCCATCCATATCTATTTCTTTCATTATGGCAGAACTCACTGGCAAAAAACTGCTTTTGCCTAGTAAGCCAATACTCTTTGCAAAAAACATGTTACTATACTATATTGCCTCTATCTTCAAAATTATTCATGCTTAATAGTTTCAATATTAAACTTTTGAATAATTTTTTTTAAAATAAATATAATTTAATAAATAAATAAGTATCAAAAAAAACTGACTTACTGTTGTGAGAAGCATATTATCAAGGAATAAAGCTATATAAACGATTAACAATAGTATTTTTCGGTTATTTTTATATTTTCTTAATATTTCGATGAATTTCGTCGTCATTTGTTCCTCTTTACATATAATTGAATAGTTCAAATTTATTAAATTTATTGATTTATTAAATATTTAAATGAAATCAGAGCAAAATTTTGAGAATTTTAAAATGAAAATTTTGAGAGAAACAATATTTTATAGACGGCTTTACAAACAATTTATAAAAATACGACTGTTTTAGAAAATTTTGTTTTCATTTTTGTGATAACAAATGTTTGATTTTTTTCTTAAAAAAATATTGAAACATCCATCCAACAATTGCAAAAATTAAATAATACACAAATGATAAGAAGGTTTTTTATTATAATTTTATTTTTGTCTAATATCATTTATCATTTATCATTCAAATATTCATTTTAAATTTTGAAATTTCATTTAATCTATCATAATTATTCCTGTTACTAATTTATTCATTAATTAAAACCTATAACATTCAAGAAAAACATTCATTTATTAAAAAATTATATAATATTAAAAACAATAAAACAATATTGTGGGGGTATTTTTAACAATTTTTATCAAGTTGATCCGTTATTCTGTTAAGAAACCAAGTGATAATTATCGAATAATATTAATGAATATAATTCATATATAATAATATAATATAATATGAATATAATCGGAGCTTTTGAATTCGTTTCCTTGAGATAGCAAATATAAAAAATTACTGCGTTTGCGCAATTATCTTTTTTTAATGAACGAAAAAAAAATATGAAATTATTCCATGCATATTTATTTTCAAATTCAATATTTGGCAATTCAATATATATTCTACGTAATTCAAATTCAATAAAATATTTAATATTTATATTATTTATTCAATATTAGTCGAATTTTAATAGTCGAATTTCAAAGGAGATTCTCGATCGTATAATTTGTATAAAGACCAAGTGTTATGTTAGAATGCTTCATCACCCGTCAAGCACTGCGAGTTCGACCGTTGATTTTTTGATTATTTTAGAATAAACCTTAAATTAAAAGTGAACTACCAGTGGTACCACTTATGTACAACTCGAATAAATAAATCTATAATATTCCTAATTAAAAATACAATTTTTGAATAGTTGGTTCATTTCTAAAATTTTCTTTAAAAAAATTCATAAATTTTAATAAATTGAAATTGGCAACTCTTTCGATAAAAGTGATAAAAGAACTTTTTTTCAATAAAATATTCTTACAATATTGGTAAGCATTTAATTGATAAAATCTATTGCCAATTAATTAATCTTAATTAATTTCAGGCATTAGTAATTCAGTGGCAAAACAATTTCTATTGAGAATCAAGGCTTGGGTCCAAATCCACTGACGCGCCTCTCCATTGGGTAGCGTTGTCTCCTAGCAGAAAAAAGCAAAATGAAATTAGAATGGTTCAGTGGGTTGTTGGTCAATTCGGAGCGTCAATTTTGAGGTTCTACTCCCTAAAGTGTTTGACGATAAAAAGAAAAAAAAAATTGTGAAAAAATATAACATAAAATTTCAAAAAAGTCTAGCAGGAAATTGTCAAAAGATATTGAAAGTTAGAAATTCCTTATTCCTTTTTTTTCAAAATCTATCTGATGCTATAGTTTATACTATGAATAAATAGTTTAAATAAATATGAATATGAAAGTATGAATAAATAGTTTCTAAGCCTAATCTTCATAGCCAATGCAATTAGTCAATCATGAGCTGGTGAGTACTTTTAGAAAAAAAATGTTTTTTTTTTTAAATGGTGTTTTTTTAGATGAAGGAGAGGAATATTGGATATTTTTATGCAGTTTTTTTTTTACATATTTCATGAATATCTTTTTCGCATAATCAATCCTTAAAGTGCACCGCAATCATTAATTTATCATACATAAAAAATTCGTAAAAAATTTATTTTTCTAATTAATAATCATATTGATATCGTTCCGATTTCTCTTGATTCTTGCCAGCTATTGTTTGATATTGTCCATTGGCAATCGCATCGCTTATTCCATGGTCAATAATAGCCTTTAATTTTATTAAATGGTTCACTGAATTCGTAAATTTTTAATAAAATTTTGATAAATTTCGGAAATCATTTTCCATAGCTTAAAAAAAACAACTTATAAATAATAAATCATACGTCACGAATTATATTTGTTGCTGGTGGATTTTTTAATAAATACATAAATGGTGCATATACGAAATTAATCACAGCGATAATACGCAACATGCTGAAAATTCCTTAAAAATTTCCTTAAATTTTGAATTTAGCAATTTTTTTACGATTTTGCATATTTTTAAAAATCTTTAATTGAAAAGATAAAAGTTTTACGTTGCAAATCCAAAAATTCGAACAAGTGGACCAGAGAAAAATGGTCCTAAAGCAAATGCGAAACAGAATGCAGCATCAGCGATCGCATAAATCGATCCGTAAACGCCGACATGTCTTAAATCAACCAAATGGCCCATCAATGGAAACATCGATGCATCAATCATTCCTGGAAAACGATCAAGTGAAAAATGCTTATTAAGATTTTCTTGGAAGGTTTCTGATAATTTTGAAGCGATGGAAAAATAACTGAAGGTAATATCAATATCTTTTTTTGACTTTAACAACTGACTCTTATTACTCTTATTTTTGATTAAAGACTTTATTAATAACGAATAGCTTCATTGTTTTTTTTTTACCTATCGTTCAGCGATAATTAATGCCTAATTTCGTATTTTTAACATTTTTGATAATTTGTTAATTGATAAATCTAATTGATAAATCTCTCGAAAATTCTAATAAAACATCCCTTTAAAATTGCACATTATTAGTAACAAATCCAACCTATAGAAAATCCCATAAAAAAATTAGGTGCGATTAGCCCATAAACATCTCGAGCGAGTGGAATCTGAAATATACAATGATAAATATTAATGAAAAAGGAATTCACAAAATGAAAATATTTATTTTATAAAAATATTTTAATTATTAAAAATATTTTAAATATTAAAATATTTATTTTATTTTATAAAAATCTATTTAAAATGTGTTTTTTTTTTAATAAGAATGCTTCTATCTTTATTATTCTAAAGAATCTTTCGAGAGGATAAATTTTAACGCAATTGTCCAATATCAAATTGGAATCACTTACCATGATTAAACAGATTCCAATAATTATGAGTCCAATGAAACCACTTAGCCACCTGAAAATTATGCACCTATTTTACTTTATAATTATTTATAATTATTTCTCCGCTCAGCAATAGTTTCGCATTATTATTTATACAGCTATTATTTAGCTTAAAAGGAACGTACCGTCCAATTTTATGTGCAAGTGGTCCAAAAATATTTGTTCCAAGAAGATAAGATACACTTGCTGGTAGAAAAGCAGCTCCACGCTCAAATGAACTAGCATGCCAGCTGTCCATCATCCACAATGGCAATGATGGTTCTAACATCGCAATACCAAGATTTCCAATAGTGATAGAGCATGAAAAATATTTACTTTATTTTTATTTATTTTATAGCTGATAAATGTGATTAAAAAAATAATATTTGTATTGATAAACCGCTTAAAAGTCGCTTAAGTATGTTAAAAAATTGACTATAAATAACACACATTGATGCTAATAATTATGATAAGAAAAACCTGCAGCAATTACAATATATGGATCACTAATCAGCTGTTTGAGGGCTTTTCCTTCAGGTTCACCTCGATCAACGTGAGGTTGAAGAATTAGAAATTGAAGTGCTAAATAATATCAACAAACAACAAATAAATAAATCGCTTTAAGGTAAAAAAAATAGCTATTAGCAGATTAGCCTGCAAAAAATCAAAGTTCGGTCTGAAAGCATCTTTTTAGTAACAATTCGCCGAACCTTCATAAGAATAATAGGTTGAGTGGTATATTATTCCGACTAAGGCTTTTAGACTCACACATCCAGTTTCTTGATGAGAATAAACTTCATTAAAATTTAAATTTTGGGAGAGAGGTTGAAGGAAAGAAAAGAGAGAGGATTCATCCGTACTTTATCATTTTCTAATATAACGATCTTCCTTTAATAGACAACATTAAAAACGAGAAAAACGAGAAATTTAGCAATATTTGAAGAAAAATTAGATTTTATTTCGAAAATAATTAAATAAAATCAAGGAGTAATTTTACATCCATCAAAAAGAGCAACAAATGCTAGTAGGAGAAAAGGCAGTTCTTTTCCGCTATATTGATAAAGTATGCCGCCATAAGGTGGTCCAATAAGAACTCCTAGAGCAAGTCCACCCAACGCAATACCCATAGCACTTCCGCGCTCCGCATCATCCGGATAAGCTTGTGCAAGCATTCCCATTCCTGGCAAATTCATTCATTTCTATCAGTGTTTTCAAAATTTCATAAAATTTCATGCATAGAATTTTAGCAAAATTTTATAAGTAATCTGGCTTAAATAAATGAATTTTTATTTATATTTATTTACATTTATATTCATATTTTGAATTAAAGGAATAAAATTTATTTCGAAAATAATTAAATAAAATCAAGGAGTAATTTTTTCAGCGAATCTTAGCAAATCAATTACAGTTATATTGATAAAGTACTTCTTGACGTTTGCTTTATAAAAATACTGCCTATGCAAAAAAGGAAACCTGATGTACTGGTACAAGCGGATCCAACACCTTGTAATGCTCTGGCCAACCATAATACGCCGAATGAATTTCCGAATGCAAATAATAAAGTTGAAAGAAACATTATGCAAAAACCAGTAAACATAGGAATTGTATAACCAATTCTAAAAATTTACTTCCTTGTTTTTTTAAATTTTTTTCAAAAATTAATAAAATAAATAGATGGTCAATTTTTTGGTTTAGGTTTAAACTTAGGTTTAAGCTTAAGGTTTCAGCTCAATCTATGAATTTTCGGAAATCTTTTAAAATTTAAAATTTGTACCTATTTGTGAGTGGACCAATCCACGGATTTACTATGAGTTGGACAAGAGCTTTTGAGCCGAACATCAAACCAACTTGAACATTTTCTTCAGTGAGAGTGTCGTGACGTGTTTGTTCAGTCGCTTCTTTTTTTTCACTGTCACTAATTGGCGTTGGCGTTGGCGTTGTCGTTATCGTTGATGTGGATTTTGTATATTTATTTTTTCTTTGATTCGATCCTGTAAAAAAATATTTATATTAGCATTTTTACTTTATTTCTTTAGAGCTATAACAATGTATATCGGTGATTCGGTGGTAAAACAACTGTCACCAAGAATCGAACGTTGGATTCGAATCTGTCTACGCACTTTTCTTCATCGGTTCGCCTAACGAAGAAGAATGTCGGAATGTCGACACTAAGGTTTTTGGACAAGGGTAAGCTCGTCCAAAAATCTGGATGATACTGGCTTGTCTATCCCTTGTCTATAGTAGATTTATCTATAGAGGAACGAGTATAACAAGAAATGATGGGTGTGCGCTTACAAGATTAAAAAAAAAAAGGATTTGGAACAAGACTTTTAAGCCAATTTTTTAAATTTTCCTGCTCAAAAAAGATTTTAGCCTTAAAATACTAATCTATAACCTGAATTCGAGCGAGCTTTAGAAGGTTTCAAGAAAAAATTTTATTATAAAATTTTATTTAATTTTTTTAATTTTGTTTAATTTTTAAAATTATGTTTTATTTTTTTTTATTACTTTATTACTTTAAAAATTTGCGTATATTTAATTCAATTTATATTGAATGTGAAAATGAAATAAGAATTAATAAAACTAAGAAAAATAATTTTACCTTTTTGCCGCAAAATTTTCTTCGTAGTTAATTGTTTGATTGGATTTAATGGACTATTAGACCAGTCAATATCTGTGTTCTGATCATCAAACGGTATTTCCCAAGAATTATCATCCCATGAAAGCGGATAAGAATCGTAATCCTCGCGTTTGTATCTTTTTTCCTCAGATCCCACATCTTTATGGAATAGAAAATCGCTCACGTTCGGATGAGATAAACGTAAGAGATGTTCCGGAATTATTGGAACTAAAATTGAAAAAGTTTTTATTCATTTCATTATATTCTAAAAGCTTTTGGAAACCCACCGTTAAAGGATGAAACAAAATTTCACCAAATAGTCCCATAGAAGTGCAGATGGATCCGTAGCTTTTCGTTGCAAATTTTTGATGGAAGTTTTATTCCAATAGTATAAAATATTGATAATATTCGAAATGATTTTATACATAAAGAATAAAACATATACATAATTAATTTTTCTTAAAAATATTGCCTAAGGTGAATTTTTGGTGAAATGGTTTTCTATAAGAAGAGTAAGCATTTCTTATGTTTATGTAGTAATATATCATTCCATGTGTTCCATGTGTTTGATGAAACTTTTTTTTTCAGTGCTCCAGTGATGGAACATGAAACATCATCTGAGGAATATTTGGTTTACGAATGCTTTACGAATTTTTATTGGACAAATAGTACAACGAGACTAGCAATGAGCATAAATGAAGTTTAAAAACAGTGGATTCACGATTTTAATTTAAGGAACATTCAAGGATTTGATATATCTTCCAAATTTTCTACAGTCGAAGCTGGTCCGAAAAAAAACCTTTGGTGATATCGCTAAGCAAAAAAGGTATTTATGATATTATATTTTTCTTTTAAGGGTCCTCACTGGTTA